AGACATTTCCCTGTGGCCCCCCCCCCCCGGTACAGAGAGACATTTCCTGTGCACCCCTGTGCTCCTCACCCGGTACAGAGAGAGAGTTCCTGTCCTGCCCCCACTGCCCCCCCACGCCCCAGTACGGACAGTCCCTATGTGCCCCCGCCCCCACCCCGTCCGTACATGGAGGCAGTTCCCGTTCACCCTCCTGCCCCCCCACGGGTGCCAGGCTCGGGGCTGCGGGCATGCTGGCTGGCATCACTGTAGGACGGATCCCAGCTCCGTGCTTCGGCCTTGCTGCTTCCTCTGCCTGCAACTGCAAAGGAATCGCTCTCCTGGGCATCCGCGGCCCCTCGCTTGCAAGCAGGAGAGGAGAGGAGAGGGACTGACCTGCTCTGGGACCCTCCTGGCTGTGTCTGTTCCCCTGGAGACTCCCTGGCCTTCCCCACGGCTCCGTGCCCAGCTCCTGCTGCCCTGCCAGGGGGCTGGCCTCCGGCTGAGCCTGGGGAGGGGAGACGGGTTCTCTGGCGGCCTGGCCCAAGCCCGCACCACGTGCTGGGCCCGCAGGCTTGGGACACCGCTTCTGGGGCGGCTCCGCCGCGCATGTATAAAATGTACATTGGAAATATTTATATGGACGCGCTGTAAATACTGTTTCTTTGCCCTGTGTGTGTGAACTGCAGCCCAGGAGATAACGGCCAATAAAGCTCCTTCCTCCTGCCAGCCCAGCCTCTGTGTGCCACCCCCAGACATTCAGCCCGGCCTGCAGCCCAGGGAGCCCCTGCCCCCACTGGCCTGATGGGCTTGGGGCCTGGCCAGCAGCGGCACCGGGCCCCCAAGTGCTGCGGCCTGGGCTTGTCCATCGCGCTGGGCATGGAAGGGTGCAGCTGGGAGGCCTGGCACAGGGGCACGCCAGGTGTAGGTGCGGTGAGCAGGCACTAAGGGGCCTTTTGCGAATGCCACGAGCCCCCCCCCCCCACTGCACAGGCAGGGCTGTGGGCTGTCACTGCACGTCCCTGATTGCACAACCCAGGAACAGGCAAACACCCGGGCACGAGGAGCTGGGGCTGGGCCAGCGGGATGCACCATCTCCGCGGGAGCCAGCAAGCCCAGGAGATTCAAACACCCTGAACTGGGAACGGACGAGCAGAGCGACGGGAATGGTCGTTACGGGCCAGAGGTCATCAAGCACCCCGTAGACTCTGGAAGTGCCGGGTGCGGCCCTCAGCAGCCAGTCGGGACCCTGGGTAACGGGGGCGGGGGAGCTAAACCCAGCCCTGTGATTGGGGGAGCAAGGCACAACCCGGCAGGAGGGGAATAGGAGCAAATGGAGGCGCTGCTAGCCAGCCGTAAGCCCGTCCGAGGGCTCTAGGTGGCAGGCAGGGGGCCCACGGGGTCACTTTGGGAGGTGGGGGCCTCACAGCTGGCCCTTACTTTGCCCAGGGGGGTAGGAGATGGTGGCCCCAGAGCGACGAGGCAGATGTGTTGGGCTGAGGCGGGAGGATCGCCCTTCTGGCTGCTAGCACTAATGTAACTTGTCGGCTACTGCAGCTGGGAAGCCAGTGCTGGCGATCGGAGCACGGGGCCTCTCGTTTGCCAGCTAACGGGCTGAACCAGTCATGGCCCAGCCCTTGCAGTGCCCCTGGCACGGCAGTGCCCAGCCGGCCCCTGTCCAATCTGGGGTCCCACGACATGTCCTCTGGCTGCCCTTGCTTGCACACCCATCACCATGCTGACGCCAGGTGAGGAGCTCCTGGGGCACGGTGCCAGCGCCGCTCCGGGAGGGGCCAGGCAGGGCCGGCCTGTCGGCTCTCAGCACGATGCCCAGCTTGGACCCCTGGGCCTGGCTTATGCCCCCCAGCAGCCAGTGCCCTCACAGGCTCATCCCCAGGGCATGGGCTGAGCGGCCGCCCCCACACGCCAGCGGGTCCCAGGCTGCCCTGCCGCAGGGCCTGGGGGCCGCACTGGGGCTGTCAGGGCGAGGCAGAAACCAACTGCATCTGAGCAGGCCCCCAGCCTGGGCTGCCCTCACAGGCCCACGCTGGCACGCAGGGGGACAGTCTGCCTCAGGCCTGGGCTCCCAGCTGTGGCTGCCCGGCCGCGCGGACAGGCTGGGCGACGGCCGGCAGGGACACCTGGGACAAAGGAGGGGAGGCGCTCCTGGGGAAGGGCAGGCACCCCCTGCCCCTACCGAGCACCACTCATTGGGGGCATTGGAACGGGGCAGCGCCTACACCTAGGTCAGGGCTATCCCTCCCCCGACGGCTAGCACTCGCCCTGCCCCTCCTCCCCACTCGTATCCCTGCCCCAGTCCCTCCCCTCCTGCCAGGGCCGGCTCTGGCTTTTTTGCCGCCCCAAGCAAAAAACAAAAAACAAACAAAAAAATCGAGGCGGCCGGAGCAGCAAAGCAAAAAAAAACCACCTGCAGGGCGGCCGGAGCGCGGGTGCAGGGGGACTCCCTGCGCTGCAGACATGCCCCGGCTAGCGGGGGGAGGGGGAGGGAGCGGTGGGGAGAGAAAGAAGGGGGCAGCCAGGGCCACGTGGCCCCGACCGCTGCGCCGCCTGCCGGGAGGGCTCCGCACCGCTCCGGTCGGCGGGGAGGGAAGGACACAGGCTGCCCTGCCGGGCTTGCTGC